AGTTAGCAAATGCTTTGGGAATGGAGGAGGGAGAAGACACAAGCTTTCCATGTACAAGTCTTAGGGTAGACTCATCTAGCCTCATTCATGTTCAGCTGTTGTTTTTCTTTGGCTTACTGCATTTCACTGGAGACATATTTTCACCTAGCAAATGATTGCAGCAGTTTCACACAGCTCCTGCAAGCACGTATCTGCTGCTGCTTCAAGCCCAAAGCAGACCTGATGGAAGGGATGGTAGAAACAAGTCTCAGTTACTCTGTGCAACGTCTGTTGGCTTAACCGAGCTGCTGCAGGAGATTTGTTTCAAGCTAAGCTACCAGCTATGGCACTAAAAGGGCTGAGGGACACAAACACATGGATCCATGCGAGCCAGCTGCATGAGAGAACAGCAAAGGACAGCATGGACAGCAACTTCTTAAACTACTAGAAGTAGATTTACTAAATTACACATACTGACACTCATTTTCCCTTAGGCTAATTGGTAAATTCACAGACAACCCCCAATACCACCACTAGCATCATACTTTGAGCATGCTTTGAGCATGTTACCAATGTTCTATATCGCCTATCTAGTGTCCTCCCTCATCCAAACTTGCACTGTAAAGGTATATAGGAAATGTTTCCTTTCTTTCTCTTGGCAATAGCCTTTGCTGGGGTCTCCCTTCTACAGGCTTTTAAATCCTCCTGCATTTCACATTCTTTCATGCTGCCCGTCCTGAACTAAACAGCCTTGCTCTCTCCTTTTGCAGAAGACAAATTTTCTCTCTACCTCGAATTCTTTCGCAGCCTTTGGAACAAAGCTTCCAGGCGGCACTTAGTTGACGTAGCTCTGGGGGCCGCCATGGGCCGGAGGGCCAGTCCCACTCCCACTGCCCAGCCCCGCTCTCCTGCCATTTCCCACAGCGGCCATCAAGCTAGTGTCCTGATCACAGAGAAAACCAACTACGAAAAAAGAACAGATCCAGGTTTCCGACCAACTTGCCCTATGATTGCTGGCCATCGCTGCAAGGGAACTGCAGCAGAGATCTGTATCAGAGCGGCGTCGCTTCCCTAGTCTAAATTACCCTTTGCGAATACCTGTCCTGTCCTGTTTCTGCCCCTCTGACACAGAACATGCATGTGGCACCATGAATAAGGCCTTCTAAAATTTCTGTATGTTTTAGCAACCCAAACCTCATTTTAAAACGTGAATTAAGCACTTTAGCAATGGTTTCATTAAAATGAGTGCAATTTAGATAGACCTATGTGAGAATAGGGTTTAGACGTCTAAGGTGCTTTGCCCTTCTGAAAGTATTATCCCTGAACTATACCAAGTGCGTTTTGCTTTCCAGGGATTGATCCCAAAGTGCAGAGCTGCATCTCAGCCTGTCTGACTGAAATCCAAACCATCAGTGCAAACATGTCATCACTTGTAGTCCCTCACGAAGATTTCAAACTGGATACACTGAAGTTGCAAGGTCAACACCTTTAGGAGCAAAACACAGCTTGCTGCATAATCTTTATACATAAGCCACGGGATATTTTGCTCCTTACTTGCCAATTCAGCCTATTTTAAAAGAGAATCCAACAATTTTAATGATCTGCTTTGGAGCTGACTGCTAAACTGAGTCTATCATAATAAAATACATCTGCATAAATAACATGTATTTATAGTATTTCTACAGTGACTTTCAATATTAATTTAAGGTATGGCTTTGCCAGAGAAATTAGGGGGACAATACTAGTACTGCACTTCCTACGAAAATTTTACAGAAGTGTCAAATATATCTGTAAATGTTTGAAATGGTAAGCCTGCAAACAAACCAATATTGTTTTTCTGTGGATGGCTGTTTAGCTCTAAGTTGGCTCCCATCACAGAAGTTTTTTTAGGAAGTACTTGAGGATTTTGTGCGTCTTTGGATTTTTATTAAAATGTATCTTTGCAAAAACGTACCGGTTGGAAGTGCATGCTTTATTTGTTGCTCAGTGTCAAACTTCTTTTTAGCATATCCCTGATTATGGTGCATATTGAGTAAACTGCTGTTTTAAAATGTTGAACGTGTGAGTGCTTGCTTATAAAGTAATCAGGGGATGGAACAGCATCCCAGGTAGTTTTCTTTGCTCCTGCACAAAATGCTCTACACAAAGCAAGCAGGTGAAAACAAATACAGTATGTTCTGAAAGAATATTGGATCAAACCAATTAATGGTGGGCAGGTAATTGGCTTCTTTGAAGAGTTATTCCTAAATAACTTTACTGCTAAAAGACCAATTGCTAAATGAGTGTTTTTCCTTCCTATGTTCAGGGGTTGAAAAATGCACCCATCACTCATTAGCCCAAAGTCTGAGTCAGCTAGACAGCATGAAAAAATAGCTGGCACTCAAAGCTCACATTTAGCCTCAAAGCCTTGTCCTGCCACTCAACAGGAACAAAACAGTCATGCACTGTTTGTGACCTTCCTTCAGTTGTAATGTAGTGTCGATCACAGTGGCCTTTAATCCTTTCCAAATTATAACATCTATGTCTTGTGCTTTAATTTTTTCTTCATTCCCTTCCTGACTTGACTTTTTTTCTTTTTTTATTACTGACAAAAGAGGACACTATCTCTCTCCATTATATTCAGTATTTCACCTGAAATTTGTGATGTTTGTGATCTTTTCTGGGCTTTCCTTGCTTTCCTGACACTGCTTCTATACCTTTACGTGACCAATTTTTAGTCTCTGATTTCTTTTTCTGTGTTTTTCTCTCCAAAATCCCTCTTTCGTTCGATACTATGATTTCTATTTCTAATGTATCATTTCAATTCTCACTTTCTACCTACCAAGCAGATGGTAAGACAGAAGGGGAGAATGTCTGTGATGTCCCAGGGTTTGTGATGGTCCCAAGACCTTGCGGTGCAAATTAAAATTTGAAGTCCTCAGGTCCTCTCTAACTGTGGGATCCAAGATGTAAAGGTTGTAATCTTTCCTGCCTCTATCTTTTGCCTGAGAGCTGAATTTGGAAGTCTGTTGAGTTACTCCTTCTTTCAACCGCTCCTGTGAGAAGCTGATCTTCTACTTCTTCCTTTAGTTTTGTGGTTACAAAAAAAATTGTTTCTTTTTCCCAGATTTCTATTTTGAATATTCTATTTCTATTCTATTTTGAATCCTCTTCTCCAGCAACTTGTTCCAGTTGTCATTCATAGTTTTCAAGCTGGGAGAGGAGGCTATTGACTTGATAATTTTCACTACTACATTGACAACTCGGGCTTAAGTTTTCTATTCATGGAGACTTTGAGAAGTCACTGAGCAGTGGAAGAGTATCTACAATGGTAAAACTCACAGATTCAGGAGGTGTTCCTTCATTAGCTTACACTTAGTTCATATTTGAATCGTTAACTTTGTAGGTATTTGGATGGACAGTGCCTTTCAGTTTTTAAAAAAACCCTTAATTTCTGTGAATTTGATGACGTGCTGAAGAAGCTTCCAGCTTTTTGTTAGCCAAGGTGATTTTTAAAGCCTGGGAACATATGTTCACACTTGTAGTTTCAGCTGTGTCCGTACATCTAATACATTTTGTCTGCCTGAGGAGGAAATTCACTGTATGGTGTATAAATATGAGCAAATTTAGTATTGTCTTTCTTGTGCTGGTTGTTGCTCTTACCTTTCTCTCTAGCACAAGCTACCTATGTGTAAAATACTAAAGAGTATATATTACCGTAAGAATAAGTTTATATTGTACAAGTGCAAAAGACCACACCTTATTCTGCAAAGTGTTTGAAAAATTTCTGAGGTATTTTTTGTGGACCTATATTTTTAAAAATCTAGAATCCACAGCCATCATGTGAGGCCAAATAGACTTCTTCGGCTTTTTTCTTATCTGAGGTTGTTGACCTCAGGAGAGGAGGAGAAGGTTACAGGGTCAAAGTCTTTTCCTCCTTGGAGCTTGCTGCTTGCTGGGAGAGGGTTGGCTGGAAAATAGATGTTTTAGAAAAAGGGTTGAGGGTCATGATTTTAATTCTGTTAGGGAACAGCTGGTTTGAGTTTCTTTCCACTTCTATCTTCCCTCCCTTCCTCAGAAATCCATGGAGAGAGAGAAATTTGTTCAGAGGAAAGCAGTAACACAAAAATAAAGGATTGCAATATTTTCACGTCTAAAATAGATCATGTTTGTTATAGGACTTCACCTTGAGAGAGAGAAGAGGAAATTATTAAAATAATTGAAATCCATTATTGCACTGAGATTGATCTAGAGTGCCAGAGGTTTATTTGTTTTCCTGCCAAAAGTTAAATTGTTAATAGTAATGTTCTAATGTTTTTTTACTGGATAAACGATATGCATTATGATTTTTAATTTAGTGATGGACAAAGCTAATTATGAATATGCCGTGTTAGTTTGCATACAAGTCGCTGAAGAAAGGTGGCTTGATTTGGCTATTTCTGTTCAGATTTTCTTCATCTTTGCATGCTGCTTTCATGCACTAAGACCAAAGAGAGAGAAGGAAACTCACAACTCTCAAATGAATGGCAAACTAGGAACAGATTTTTCGTCTGCGCTCCTCTAAAACGCTGGCCTCAGGCTGTGTTGGTGTGTGGCTCAACAGCAATCAGAGGTCATAATTTCATTGGCGGTTAGCATCAGGTTTAATTTTTCTAATATGTTACATTTACCAAAATGTCTGGTTTCAGTTACACTTATGCACTGACTGAATCAGCTTTGAGCAGCATGATGTTTTAAGGTACCTGAAAGGCTACAAGAACGTTTATGGAACACATATGCTAATTGGTTTTAACCACTTTCCTTTCTAAACACAAAAATGTGTTTTTGGAAAGCCATTTAACAGTAGTAGCTAATGATGATGTGCATTTATTCTAAGAAATGAGCGCAAGGAATAGGTAAAATAGTTGTTTTAACAAGACTGCCATCTACTGATTTCCACAATTAAAAATATCCCTGATGAGTAGATTGTTCATAGCTTTTTATAGCTTTATTTTTGAGATTTGCAAGATCAAGAAAATTATAAAGTCTTTCTGTCGCCTTAGGAATGCGACCAGGTTCACATTGACGACGTGTCTTCAGACGACAACGGTCAAGATTTAAGGTACAAGAGAACTGAACAAGATAAAACATTGCTTTGCAAGTTCCTTCCCGGGAAGGCAATGAGCTGCTGTAATGCTTACAGTAGCCCGCCGTCTTTTTAGCTGTCTTAGCCTTTGCAACCCAGCAAAGCTGGTGGTTGAATGTAGCCTGTTGCCTTTTGTTAATCTGTTTTTTTTCTTATCTGACTAGCACCTATAACTTCGGAACAGACGGCTTTCCTGCGGCTGCCACCAGTGCGAATTTGTGCCTCGCAACAGGGGTGCGCGGAGGAGTGGACTGGATGCGAAAATTGGCTTTCCGCTACAGACGAGTAAAAGAAATATACAATACCTACAAAAATAATGTCGGAGGCAAGTGACTCTAAAGTATATAAAAATATAGACAAGAAGTAGTAAGAAGGAAGAACTTTTGGTTTCTGTTCCTCTTTTAACATGGTAATGCTTAGTGAGCTGTTTAGTTTGAGGTGTGTGGAAAATTGTCTCTGACCTAATGAAAGCAAAGGAAAATGACAGAACGTTACTTAATTTCGGTGCAGACATGCCCTTATCTACTCCACAGGTCTTCTTGGTCCAGCAAAAAGAGAGGCTTGGTTACAACTAAGAGCAGAAATCGAAGCTTTGACGGATTCTTGGTTAACACTTGCACTGAAAGCGCTCACCCTTATTCATTCGAGGTGAGTATGAAGAGTTACGGGGTAGCTGGGAAACTTTAGGATGTCTGGGCAAAGTGCTGAACTTGGAGGACCTTCTTCTCATTCCTTGTTCTGGTCAGACCATGCCACTCTGTACCTTGCTCTCCTGTAAGGTGAAAAAAACAAGCCCTTTCTTTGTAAGTGGCAATAACAACGGTGAGGGGTTCTGATGGGAGGGATAAGGTTTTCATTTTTCTGTTTTGTTTTCTTTAAAAAAGGATGTTTGTGTTTTCTCTTCCATAGGACAAACTGTGTGAACATTCTCGTAACAACTACTCAGCTAATTCCAGCTCTGGCAAAAGTCTTGCTGTATGGACTAGGCGTTGTATTTCCCATAGAGAATATTTACAGTGCAACTAAAATAGGTGAGCTATTTTTGTAATGTGGTGATACATCTGAAGCTGTAATTCTAAATTAAAAGATGTTGTAGTCTATTTATTTCATACATGCATTCACTGTAACAAATATAGAGATTAGTAATACCCGGTCTTATGAAACACTTTTCGTGCTAAAGCATCCTAAAAGCGCTTTTCAAAAGTTTGTCATGATCCAGCACAGAAAGCTTCATTTAGCTCTATTAACGCTGCTACAGCCCCTGTTAGGAGGAATTAAATTGCTTTTTTTGTCATCATTTCTCAAAACTATGAGGCTATGTAGCAGTTGAGAAGGTTTTTTAGTAGGCTGTGAGTACAGAATGCTGAAGTCTCCCCAGATTAAGCAGAAGAAATTCTATAAAGGTAAACCCTGGCTCCATTTGTTTTCATGGGCTCTGGAGCAAATTTTGGTAAACAATTTACCAGAAGCAAGAATGTTTTGCTGCAGAATGTAATTATTTAAGTTCATTCATACTGACTGTAATAAGCTTCAGCCGGGCAAATGTTTATTTCTGTTTTCTGGTTCAATATAAAAGATGTTATTCTGCATATGTAGAAGTACATAGGACCAGATGGCAATGGTGCTTGTAGTTTTTAATGTGATTATGACATATCTGTTCTGTCTCAGATTCCCTCAAAATTGTGGGCTACATGAAAACATTTTTCATGTGTTCTTAAGTATCTATAATACAGGAAGCTCAAATGGCCGAGAAAAAATGGTGGGTTATTTTTGTTTGGTTTTGTTTAAAAAAAAAACCAAAAACAAAACAAAACAACTTGGTTGAGAGTTTTATGTAGAAATTTGAAAACATTACCATAAAAGATTTAAAACTGTTTTCTGGTTGGTAATGTTATGGTACCTTCTGTCAAAACTTTAAAGTAAATTAAAACTTTGAATTATAATACTTTAAATACACAATTAAAACATATTTTAATAAATATTCACTTGTGACTTCACGTACACGGGACAGAAGGGTATCTTTGGAAAACTGAATTCAGTCACTGACTGTCACAGGAAATCATGAGATTTTTGTAACATGACACGACTCATAATTTTCAAGCACCGTTTCAACCTGGTTAGTGTTGGAGGTTTCTTAAGCCTGGTGCTACAGTAGAAGGGTGTCGTTGGGTAGTTTGGCTTCTCTGCTGGCTAGAAACCTTTTTTAAATTTCCAATCTGTTTGTTCTTATGCTGGTATTGTTCTGTAGCTGAAATAACTATTTTGAAAAACACGATTTTTCCCATCACGTGCTGTAGACACATGCACATGTAAGCATGTACCATGACTAGACTGAAGTGATCTTTCAGAATGGGGAAATTTGAGAAAACTCAAGTGTGTAAGCATTCTTTCTGACTTCCCAGTACCAGTACCTGAAGCTTCCCAGCATGGGTGTCTACATGTAGTACTGGAGCACTGGGATCATGTCCCTAGGTCTGTGCAGTGAAATAATGAGCCATGCTAATGGATCCCAGTGCAGGATCAAGGACCTTGCCCATGTATTGGATTACAGGCATTTAATTCTAAATCTTTTGGGTGACCTTCTAAGTCAGGATACTACTGTTTCAGGAGCTGTGATTAATATTCTCATAAGTTGTGGAGAAAAAGCTAGAATTTCAACTCAGTTTCAATCAATTTGCTCAATTCAAGGTACTGGCTGTAAACAGCCGGTACAGAATTCTCCTGGTAGGGAAATTCCCCCCAAACCTGTCTCCGATTAGGGAAGGAGTCAAGAAGGGTGATATTGCGGACCTGTAGCCCACTCTGCCTGCTATGGCATGTGTACTAAAGGACCTCGTGGAGCAGATCTTAGGGTTGCCTGTCAGCTGCTGTGGCGGGCGTAAAGCTGCAGTCGGCCTTGATGCACCATCCTGCCGAAAGAGGCTTTTCTCTCCCCATAGCTCTAATTATGTATGCAAAGTGTTGGGGAGATCTGGGCTAAAAAGTGTTCTATTTGATGTCATGCCATCACTCCCTACCCTGAATAGTCTGATCTTTTTCTTTCAGGAAAGGAAAGTTGTTTTGAGCGAATAATTCAAAGATTTGGAAGAAAAGTAGTATATGTTGTTATAGGGGATGGTGTTGAAGAAGAACAAGGCGCAAAAAAGGTAAAGGCCCTTTGTCAGTGTGGGTTGATTTCAAGAGTCTGAAAGCAAAATTGTCTTTTCTTCGACATGGGATAGCACGCATTGACATTTGGGTTTTGTATCTTTGCTTTATGAAATATATTTTGACCATATCTAGTAGAAAGCTGCATAAAACTGTAGATAATAATGTGCCCTGCTGTTCTCCAAAAGACATATTAAGCTAGCTACGTATGTTTGATGTATTTCAAAAAGGAGCCAGAAAATGGACCCCGGCTTTTGTGCCAAGAACTAATAGTTCTGTTTTCATTGGCATCCCAAAATACCACATAGGATGTTATGAATATAAGCAAAAAATGGCAATTCTTGCTGATCAAAGGCAGTGTGCTATTTGACTGTATGAAATACTTATATGTCACACCTTGAAAAGGTATGTAGGACTGGAGTAGGTATACACAAATTTCAGTTTTCTTGAGCGTCCATAATTTGGATTCTGCATTCAGGTAACTACTTGTGGCTTGTCCTGCATTCACAACCTCAGTTAACTTGAGCGGAGGATACTATTTGACTATGTCTTTATTATTTTTTGCTTTCCTCTGGGAAGAAGGGAAAAATTCACTTCTTTTTTTCCCCAACTGTGGAGTAAGCTTTGCAAAAAGCAATACTTTCCACTGACAAATAATAGGCAGTATTCCTAGCCTTTCCATTCTACCCAAGTACAGCAGATACAGAGTCTTTACTTGGAGGAATGGGACATAATATTGGCTCTTTGAACAATAGGAGAAAGAGTAGGAAAATGGGCATTTCTATTCTCCGTTCTTGCTTCCTTTTACAGGTAAACCGCCTTTACGCAGCTGCTATTTTACCACAAAGCTCTCTGTGGTACTTCTATATCTGTTTCCACTGTAGCTTTCTAAATTGGAGAAGTGAAACTAATTAGTCTGCATGATGTTTTAACAACCACTGACTGGTTTTGCTTCATGAAATCTGGGTTTTGTGCCCCCAAAGTGTTGCGCGTAGGTTCCCGGCTCGTCCCGGCACTTCGCAGAGTCTCAGTTTCATATAACCCTTTGGCGGACTGACGGGAACAGTTTGCTCCTTTCTCCTTCAGAAATGCCTTTCATCTTTGTGGAGAAATGTTTTCCCGCTGTAAATGATTACATTTTAAAAGCTGCATTTAAGATCGGGGCGGAGGGGGGGAGTTTCTTCTCTTTGTTCCTTTTCTGTTGCTCGGTGAACTAGTGTTGTATATGATAATGGCAGGAGTAGTCTTTTCAGTAACATTATCTAATTCCATGCATTTTTCAATAGGAAACATGATTCAGAAAAGCATAAGAAAAAGCCTTTCCAGTCGCTAAGAGGAGTAGCAGTGTAGAAAGTTCCTTTGTGCCATTACTTCTGTGTATTCTTTTTCGGTGGAAGGAATTTTCAGATTCAAAGCATGTTAGATGCTCTGGATTAAATTATCTACTGCAGCAATGCCAGAGAAGTCAATAAGTAGACCAGCAGCCCTGCCTTTCTGCAGAAACTATTAATTTGATTAAGGAAAATGCTTCTGTGATTCGAACATACTTCTGTGATTCTTTGTCCCGCTTCTTACTCCACCAAAAAAGAAGTCACCATTTCACACTGTGAAAGCAGGATTTGCCTCTTAAGTTTGGGCCCTCGCGTCCTGCAAGAGCAAGAACCACGCAGTGCCTTGCAGGATGAGGAGCTGCTCCCAACTTAGATGATGCCTTTTTGGTTATCTGCTCCTCAGGGTGTTTTTAGGGTTATCAGGAGGAGTGAGAATGGGAATGCGCCCTAGTGTATACTGTGCTTCAATTTATAGACATACGCCCTGTCTAAGGAATAAATGGTATCGCTGCCTGAGAAAACAGTAAAAGCCTAGATCTTCTCTGGAGAGCGTGCAGGATGAAAGATTTCATCAAGCAGGAGAAGATCTACCCCCACAAAACCACCCAAAGCCCATCAGTCCAAACTGGCATAACTGGCCCGTGATGTACCCCGTTGCCTTGCTTATCCCCTGAGCTTTGCCAGCTGGTTCTTTCCCGCCTTCCTTCCCGTCAGCACGTTGGGTTTTGTGATGCTCTCAGGGCAGGGACAGCTTGTCTGTAAGCCCTTTGTCTGTAAACACTTTGCTGAAGGGTTTTGGCCTGTAGTGAAGCCCTTAGTATTATGGACGTTTCTTTACGCTACTTGGAGCGTAAACAGTACACCGTTCTTTAAGTAGCACTTCACTGATTACATGTAAACTATAAAGAGTATTTTTAAGTGAGCTTATAAATTCAAACCTATTTAATTTGAGAGATTTTTTTATTCTGTGTTCATTTAGTGAAAAGAGCTGAACTTCCAGCTTAGAAGGTAATAAAGTTAAGGGTTACTAAAAATAATTTACCAATAATTTATCAATTGCTTCATCATAAAACAAGATATTTATTTATGTCCTTAATTCGTGGAAAATCCTGAGTCAATACAACAATAGGCAAAATAAAGGACACATTTAAAATCTTTTTATTATTGTCATTACTGTAAAAATTCAATAATAGAAACTTTTTAACACCGTTTAAAAGGTCATTGCTCTTTTGAGAAACATTTTGAGGATAAACTGTTTTTTGAAAAAACGCCTCTTTTGACTGATGAAAATAAATACAA